GGGCAGAGTCACGAGGCTCGGCGGGGGAGAAGCGGGTGGGGGAGGGACTGATGCCATGGTGGCCTGCGAACGTTCAGGGAAAACGGAAAATTCGTTTAAAAAGAACGGCGTGAAGCGAAACGGCTTAGTCGGCACGACGCGGCGCGTACCACCTTTCGACGAACAGTTGGCCAAAAAACTGATTAACTTTCTGACCACGGTGCTCATCGATCATCGGAGCTTCGATATTACAAGAATTACCAGAAGAAAATTGATGTCAAATGAAAATATTTGATAATATGAGATGAATTTAATAATATAAACTGTTTTTCGACTTTTAACAAAAATTATGCAATTAAAATAACGAGTTTCATATTAAAAATTATTTAAACGAAATATGTTCCAGATTATTTAAGGAATTGAAAATATGGTTTGAAAGTGTTGCTATAGTGGGGGAACTATTTCAATGTCGGTTGCGATATACGATACAAGCTACAATTTGCGTATTGTTAAATCACTTTATTGGAATCTATTGGAATCAGTTTTTTCTTGTTGGATATATTTCAGTACTTATCACTGCAATTGCCGAATCTAAGTACAACTGCGGCTACTCGTGGCTTACTTATGCGGTTTGAAAGTCATAATTAAAACGATATGAATTCCCTGTTGTTAGTATTTACATTTTATTTTATGATTTATCAAAAAAGTATGTTTTCAAGTAACATTGATTTTTGTCCCACTTTTTATATTAATCGACCACTGTGCGGCGCGTTCGGCCTAAACCACGGCTTCGATTACGCCGCCGCGTTTCTCGGGGAATGTTTGTTGATTCTTTTGCGGTCCTTTTGCGGCCGAGCAGACATCAGATTCGATTTCCTTACATTTGTCACGTGCTTTTAGAGGTTTTGTGACCGTACTGTACGAATCGTTTACACGCAGACGCGATTAAGCCTAGGTTTTAAGGTTTTCGACCTTTATCGAAGTATGTACTATTTAGTCACCTATATATGTGATTTTATCAAATTTTTTTGTTTTTGGCTTTCATCGATTTGTCATAATGGTTACTCTTTTTTACTGGGTTTTATTATAATTCTTTGTAATATTTTGAACGTATTATATGAATTTACCACTCGAAATGATTAAGTCCCATTTTTAAATGTCTTCTAATTTGAATGCTGACATATAATTCATTATTTAGATGTATGATTTTAGTTAAATTTTTCTGGGTGTGACATTGTGAACTGGATCGTTTTACTGAATAATTGATAAATATCGATAGATTCACAAAATGGCCAGAATACCGCACAGAACTTTATGCATTTGTAACACATGAAAATCTTTGAAAATTAGAATACAACAGTCGTAAGAAAATGTAGTGCAATCTTGCTCTAGTATTACTGGAGCCATTTATGCAGACAATTGAAGTTCTTTTAATGTCAGTTGCTTTAAACGTCTGCATTCTTTCGCAAGCTAATCATGAGGTACGAAGTGAAATTACAGTACAGTTTTCAGTTATTATTTACCGAGGTTAAATACTTGTTTACTCATTACAAAGTTTCGAATGTTCATGCGAACTTGTACTATTCTGTATTCCAAAGAGAGAAACAAGAACGACAGAAATTAGTTTCTCAGAAACTATCAGAAGTCAGAGAAAATTGTCTTGTTGTATCATTACTTAAATATTTCTTTTGAAATAAAATATTTGTAAGTGTATAAAATCCATATACCAACAGGCTGTTAAATTATTGACAAGTAACATCCATAAAAGCGTAGGTAAAATGTGAATATACTTAAAAAAATATTGTCTATCTTTCATTTCTTCGGTAGAAGAATAATACAGATACTGTACCTTAATATAGCTCAAGTTCGTTATTCAGTTGAACATAAAAAGTGAAGTTATCAAAGGGTAAAAAATTCATTGTGTGATAGTTTCACGCTTTGAAGGGTCTCCTTATTTCAGTAATTAAATTATCATCTTTCATTTAAGACATTTACTTGCAAAAGGTTAATAACATTAAGAGAAAAAATGAATCATTTCCGAGGAATTTTTCGGATTTCAAATAAATCAAACAATACCGGACGTTCAGAAGAATAATTTTGTATTGTTTCCTTTATTAGTTACATTTTCTGTCTAGACATTAGAAACTAGTACATGCATATAGCCAGGTACTCTCGCTTCATTCTCATTCTCTCTTTCTCACATTCATTTTTTCCATTTAGCGTTCCATCGAAGCTGTATGACTTCAGAAGAATTATAAAACAATTTATCTTAACACTGAAACTACCGTGCAATCAAATTGACATTTTCAGACAGTTCTATGTATACTCCAAGAGTGCATCTAGTGTGATTTCCATTGATTTACAATTCAGTTTACGTGTTGCTAAACCAATTGCTTTAGTTATTTCCCAGACAATCGTTTGTTTTTCCAATAATTGCGAACAGAAGAAATCAGAAATACATCGTTTTGACCTATGTAATTCTAGTATCAATAAAAAATTGAACTTCTTTTCACTTCTTTGCATCTTCAATTACGGTACAATCCCAAATAGCGCAAAGAATTATTGCAAAATAACTATAAAAGTGAGATTCTTCAAAAGAAAGTAACACAAGCAGAGAAAGAAACTGGTATCAGAAAAGGGAATGCAACGCGAGATGTGTAAACGTGAAATGACTACACACAGAGTTCTTTAATCGCGTTATACGGCGTAACTGCAAGAAGTAGAAATCAGGAGCGGTAATTTTGACCTGTATGATTCTAATATCAACCGGAAATCGGACTTCTCGTCGCTTCGTTTGTGATCACGTCGCAGACAAAGCGGCAAAATGCTCGAAAACAGAAGCGTCGTTTATTGTACTCCACATCGTGCCGCGGAGAAAAGATTGGTTCACAGTGTTCGAAACTCAGATGCACCGATGCGCGCGTCGTTCATTGTTTCGCCGCGTTTTTTCAACCTCGTCAAATCGAAGAAGAGTGGGAAACGAGAGGAAACGGGCGGAGGGGGTTGAGTTCGAGGAAGGAGGAACGGCCGGTATAACGCGAGGATCAGAAAACTTCTGAGAACCGGCGAACGGGAGAATCCCGTCGATCAGAATAGAGTGTCGTAATTGTCATGTGATCGTCGAAAGGATCGCCTAACTGTACGTCCCTTCCACCATTCACCGACAATTTCATCGGACTACGGCCGGTGCAGCCTTTCCCCGTTTAAATTTTCCTGCGTGCCGCGATTAGGCCCCACGATTAGATCCCGATTCGAGAACGTTTTGATCAGGGACTGAAAAGCTTCCGAAAATATCTGTTCGAAACTTTTTTTTTCTGTTTTAGTGTATATTTTAAGTTGCGTCAAACCAATTGGGTCATTGGCAACTGCTTTACATTATGCAGATGGGTTATCTATGTGTACGATTGTATTGTGCATTCCTTAGTTGCGGATGGCTGATTAAAGTAACCAGTTAACTGTGGAATTTAGTTCGTAAAATCTCTCATTCTGCGCGCAATAAAATCAAACAATAAAGTGTATACTCATCAAACGTAGGGCAAATGGATTTGTAATATATTCTGACGAAAAACTACAGCGAAACGAAGAATTGCACGTTTATCGGAATAAATAAATAGTTTCTCGTAGAAAGAATTAACATAACGTGTATACTTCTCGAACGCAGTTAACTGATCAAGTGTAGTATCTTGATTTCTTTTAGAAATTTCAAAATATTAGGGCGTGAGTGAACTGTTCGGGTTATTTTTTTAGGGTCTTCTGTTCAATTAGGTACCGGAAAAAGTGTGTGCGGTTTTCTTATTAGGAATGAATCCGATTATCAATTAGTGTTTCACTAGTTTAACACTATTCCTACCGCGACCAGTCAAATGATTGTTTTTAAAATTTCGATTAGAATTTCCTATAGACAACGTAATTGAATCCCCTTTATACTTCACAATTTTTCCAAAATATACGTATAAAACATTTTTCAATATTCACACCTTTTTTTATTGTTTATTTTCTGGGAAAAATTTGTAGTCTGTCTTACTTACCACGACCGGTCATTTAACTGGTAGAACGATTTATATCTTTTTATAATAGTATTCTCTCAAAGACTCAATTCCGAAGCTATGAAGTCGTTACGAACGAAAGGTAATGCAGTGGTGGCACGATTTTAGCCAAAAAGTGCCTTTCAGGGACTGCTTTGCGATACTTCCAAGTGTTTACAGTTCTCGCTTGCCTATCGGCCTCGGTAAAATCTGTAAAATCTAAATGTCGGAGATGGCCTTTACAGGTATTTTTCAA